TATGGCAACCAGGGGAGATCTAGACAACCTTGGGTGCCAGCTCTGGGCTGGCAGGGGGCACTGGTGTCAGGTCTGGGCTCCAGAGGGTAGAGGGAACTGTCCCGCCTCTGGAGAAGCTCCCTCCCACCCTGAACCCCTGCCCCTGGCAGCTGTATCCTTCCCAATCCCCACTCTGATTGTAGAGCTGGGCTGGGACAACGTCTGCTGCCCCCTACAGCAGGTAGCTCCCAACCCCAGCTCCACAATAGGAGCCAGAGCTCAGACATTGCTCCCTGCCCCTGGCAACCAACAACCAATCATGGAGCTAGGGTGGGGAGCTGCCCATTACTGGGGCAGGGGGACATTAGGCCCAAACAGGCTCTGATTTCAGAGTCTGCCCTGGAAGCAGGCAGCTCCTGGTAAAGGGGTCAATGTCTCAGCCCCTGGCTCTGATCTTGGAGCCGGGGACCAGAGCTGTCTGCTGTGAAGGCAAAGGCACATTGTCTCCACCAGGACTCCATGATCGGAGTTGGCCCTGGCAGCAGGCAGCTCCGGGGGGAGGAGACCGTTCTCCCACTCTGTGATGCCCGGGTATGTAACCATGTGCTACTGCACAGTAGCTGCAGGTATTTACACATAGTAGAAAAATGCTCATTAAGCTAATCTACTAAAATGGTGTGTTCCAGTGTACCAGTACATAGTGATGCTTTACTGCACAGTACATTAGTCTACTGCACAGTAAAGCAGCTTGTGTAAACACACCCATAGAGTACCAAACCCAAGTCCAATAAAACAAAGTTGCTTCCAGCTACTTCTGCTCATGAGAAAAAGATGTAACATACCATTATGTTGGATCTATGCTATGGAAGGATCCCCTAGGCTAATCATCCCCATACAGAATAAGCTATTGTACATCAAGAATCTTCAAGCAGTGGCACAAAACAGCTCCTGCAATACAACCCAGGTTTAATGCATCAATTAGAAGAAGTATCAGACGGATATTTAACGCTTGTTCTGGAGATGCTCAACAAAATGATAACAGATTATTTAATTTGTCCTTAATACATGACTGGGTTTGCTTATAGACAGTTTTATTTTTTTAACCCATAGCTTTTAGTGGGCAGAATTTCTGGCATCTACTGAAACAGGTCACCATGAACAGGATAATATGACAATCTGTTATCATTAGCTCTGTTGGAAAGGTTTTGAAGACACCAGAGAGAATTAAATGACCTGGAAAACTCAGTCTGTGGAAAAGTCTATAGTACTCATCTCCGTTATTTCCGCCTCTACGCATCACTGGAACTGTGGAACAACGTGATTTGCAGTGGCGACAAAGACAAAGGTCATTTTTCAGTTCTCCTTTTATCCAAAACAAATAATTTGAGGTTCCCAAATCACACCCCAAGAAAATTTCTAGTCCATTAGTGCATTTTTCCATGCATTCAATATGTTAATAAATTAAAACAGGGATTAAAAAAAACTCATCAGGTCCCTCAGACTTGATGAGTGGTGCACGACCAGTCCACAGCTCAGATCATGTCCACAGACTGGCCCCCACACATTGCGCGTAACACTGAGGGCAGAGTCCAGCGCTGGTGCCCACTGCATGCAGCATGTGGGCTCATCTGGGGCATGTGGCCAACACTGCAGGTCAGATGATAGGAGTCTGAGTGCTGAATTTTTTACATGCTTGAATTAGAATCATCAATTTTCTCTAGAAAATTAGAGGCCTATTTATAAAGCAAGCAATCAGCGCTCATTTCTGTCCACCCTTGTTAAGATTATGAGGACTTCATACTGCTAAAACAGTAATAGACGGCGTCTAATATATCTTATTTTAGGAACTATTTTTGATTAACATTGTAATTATTTTCCCTCAAAGTTTTCAATCAAGAGCAGTTTCAAAACAAAGGCAATCTCCTATTAATTACATTCCCCTGTGGGTTGCTTGATGAGGTACAGCTCATTAAAAGAACTTCAGGTGCTTTTAAAAGAACTGGCATATGATATTTTCAAATATAAACTGATGGCTACGGAATCTTTCTTTTCAAAATTTTCCATACAAATCCCTACTTTGCTGCTGCTACTTGACATTTGTCCAGGCAACGTCTCTGATATACCAGACCCTATAGTGTTTCTTAGCTATTCTGATCCATTCTCTCTGCATCGCACCCATAAACCTGGCCAATCTGTCTTAAGAGAAGTTTCCAGGGAGACAATGACAGTATCTGAGTAACAATGCTTATACCAAGTGCCCTGAGTCCTGCACTCATGTAGTGGGGTGGACTAGGTGACCCTAGAGGTCACCTCCAACTCTATGCTTCTGGGAGTCTCCAAAACATATGGCTAGGGCAGGGGTGGGCAAAATGCATGGCCTGGTGGGCTGCATCTGGCCCCCGGGATTCTATCTGGCCCGCGGGGCCCCTAAACATTTTAGAAAATTAATATTTATCTGCCCTAGGCTGCCTGTCATGCGGCCCTCGATGGCTTGCCAAAACTCAGTAAGCAGCCCCTGCCCAAAATAGTTGCCTGCCCCTGGGCTAGGAAAAGGCTATATAGCAAAAACATTAATGCATTGTGCAGCAGTAACCCTGAGTGAGAAGACAGTAGTGGGGCAAAGGCAGGAGACATAAAATAGAGCAGACTTGAGTTTCCTGTACTTCACAAGAAGGAATGAGGTAAGTGCAGTGATTGAGAAACAGGGGTAACTAAAAGGTCTTTTTATAAGCCTGTTATTGACCTGTACCAAACACAGCTGCAGTTGTGGCCTGAAAAGTCTGCCAAGGTATAATCTTCCTTTATGTGAGTGGAATCAGAAGAAATATGCTTTTTGTTTCAATAATTAAAAACCATGTAAACACTTCTGTAAGTGGCAAATTTGAAATTTATTTTCAGGTGCTGAGGGAGAGATCTGTGGCTAAAACTCCATCATGAGAAAGCACCAAGAATTAAATCATAGTGTATAAGGTATCAGAAAAGAATTTAATTCCATTGCCTGGTATTAACACAAGGAAATGTAAAATGATGCAAACTTGAAGTTGAGGCTGACAATCTAAACACCCAGATAGCTAAGTCTGAAGGAGGTCAGTTTTAGATGTAATCCCCATGAATGATTTTATCTGTTTAATGGCAGAAATCACATTCTCGATTAAAAGACTCCTGAATGTAAAGAGATGATTAGAAATGCCTGTGTTTTAGATCTCATCTGTAACCCAATCCAAAAACAATTAATTTAAAATGCTGCACAGTAATATTTGTGAACAACGATTTCTTTTTTTTTTTTTTGTATTGATGCTATTAAACATCTCCCACCAGCTGTACACTAATATTCAGAAGAAGAGAGATTTTTTTTGTACTGACTCTTGGAAATCCTACCATTGGTGTAATGTATGGGAATGCAGTGATATTGGCAGTTATCCAACTATAAAACCTTTTTTTCGGTGGGGGAATGAGGCTGAACCAAGTATGTACAATTATGTACTTTTCATAACCTCAGGCTTGTCCTCTTTTTTGTATATATGTATTATCCTTCAATAAATCCACTCCTCTATTGGGGCAAATACACAGATGTCTCATTAAGGTAAACTGCCAATCTTTCAGCTGAAAGCTTTAATAAATTCAGTGGCAGATCAGGTGCAAGAAAATGAATGAAAGTGTGTTGTATTTAAAGTGACACTGTGAATATACTTGTTGGGTTCATCAGTTCTAATTCAGTTATGTCTTTTTGGAGTGCACTGTCTCATTTATTTCAATAGCTTTCTATTTTCTAATATGATTCTCAATTAGTTGGGTAGGCAGGTAAAACAGCTGACATTCCAGCAATGAACTATGCACTTCCAAACCTGTTTGCACAGGCACATGTTACACTTTAACAAGCTCTTTATCCCTAGCCTAGAACGCTGGTTTATTAATAGGTTAACATAAAGGCTCCTCTCAAAAATTAATTAAAGGTGTTTTGAACTACATGAACATAACTCATTCAGCTGCTAAATGATGAAGCACAACAGTTAGCAGGTAACTGTAGACATTTAGTCCTTCATCCAATTCAGTCTGCTAATACTTCTGCAATAAAACTAATAATATCCACCATCCATCTAGATAATAAGCACTGGATCCAAAAGTTGTTGTTGTACTGTACAGGTCTGCATTGTATTAGGTTCTCAGCAAGCACAGCACAAGTCATTTGTTTCATTAACATGGTATATTGACCTTATTTGAACACTTATAAAACATCACTTGAACTTAATTCGAGTTTGCAATAGTAATTGTTTCAATAATGGGTTGTTTTAAATGATGTCTAACTCTATCCCAACTATACAATTGATCCAATAAAAGATACTGCCCTTAGAAATTGTTGTCTCTAACACAATTTCTGGAGCATCACAGCTACACCATCACTCTTATACTACCATATACAAATACATGCAAGTGGCAATTAACCATTGGAATCAAGTTTCTAGGCATTGACATGAACACCTCCCTGCTAAGCTGATATCTGAACTGAAACTTTACAGCTAGAAATTTTTACAGCAAAGAACTACATTCAGCCAGATTCGGTCTTTTGAGAAGAATGAAGGCCATTCTAGATATTGTGTTTTAGGCCCACAACTAACAGTCTTTAGTGACAGCATTTTAATAACTGGTTGCTATTTAACATAACCTAGAAACTTTACTCAATTTGAAGAACAAGATGTTCAGTGAAATGAGGTAAGAGTCTGCAACAGTAATTAAAAATATAATTTCTAATAAAGTAGTATGTAATTTAGACCAATTAGACCAAATTGACTATGGATACATATCAGGATTCCCAAAGAAGTTGCTAGGACTTTTTTAATGGATACTCCCCTTTTCGGAGTAATAAGCAATTTATTCAGGCAAACATTCTAATTACTGTATGAATCAATCAACCTTCGCACAGCAATATTCTCTCTCTGGCTTTAGTTTTGTTAACACATAACTACTTAGGCTCAGTGGTTAGCACATACAAAAACCAAATTGAACTAAATATCCAACTGTACCTTAGTTCTGTTGTCAGCTGTATGGATGGTTCCCTCCAAAATGGAAATGGTCTCAACAAAATAGTCCTTGTATGTGTGAAAACCGATGAAAGCAAGGTGCTGAGTGAAAATATTAGAATCTTTTCAGGAAATCTGTTGAACAGAAAAAAGAACACTATATTTTTATCTTATATATGCCACTTCCCATCATTTAACCCCCCTTGCAATGTAGAGACTGTCAGTATACTTGTTGGATTTTCTGTTATGTTTTTTCTGGTGTGTTATGAAAGATATTTGTATTGGCCACTGATCTAAAGCCAAGATACATTTCTTGTTTTGGGTATGCTTTGCGAAAGTGCTTTGTTTTGTGGAAATGAGAAAGAAATCCCTTTAAATGGAAAAAGAAATAGAAGTATTTCTGCCTCTTTTTAATGGTCACTTAATGGGTGTGGAGGTAGGGCTTGAAAGAAATGGGTTTGTACTACTAGCCTCAAGCCACTGAATCCAAAGAAACAATGAATGAATACTAATTCCTTTTATTTGGAAATAATTATATTGGCCTTTGGGGTGTATTTTTGCTAGAACTGTAATCTCATTTCTTTTTATAAGACAGCAATATTCTTTTATTTATAACCACTTTTAAGAAATGCACAATTACAACAGTAGCCTCTTATTTTGGTTGCAAATGCCTGGTTTGGGATTCATAGATTTTAAGGCCAGAAGGGATCTTTGTAATCATCTAGTCTGACCTGTAAAACTAAGGACATGGGATTTTCTTGAACTATTTCTTATTTACACTACATAGTCTGTTTTAGAAAGATATCTACTGTTGATTTTAAAATTACCAGTATTGACAAACCACAACCCTTAGTAAATTGTTTCAGCCGTTAATTATCTGCACTTAAAAACGTACACACTCAGATCAAATACACCTGTGACTCTAAGCAGTTTTGCTAACTCATTGACCAACAATGTATCAATGCTTTGTCAGAGTCCATGTTGGGCCCCTGTCTCTGGGCATAGTTTATTGTATAAACAAAAAAATGCAACAATATGCCAGTATTACATAGTTCATCTACATAACAAGAGCTCCATTTCTAGATACTTTTAAAAGAAGTGTTGTTTTGATCAACAGTCTTGCACAGGGACCTCTCCAGTCCCTGCCATTTGTCCTAGAATCCGCTTTATCTGAGAGCGGTACTTGTAAGGGGGCTATAATACCCTATTTTTATTTTAGATACTTAAGCCCAACATTCATTAAACCAAATTCAAAACTCTCATCTAACTTCCATTTAATCCTGTCCTAAGAGGCCTTCTGCATAACTGCCCAAATTTTGATATTATCAAAAAATGGTTTAGTGAGCCAGCTCCTAAGCCTGGTATTTTCAAATCAGCTATTTCCTATCTATCTTGCCACAAGACCACTTTTACCAGCTGTATCTGGTCAGAAGGCTGTGACCTTTTCTTTGGAATGTGTATTTTGCTTGTATCAGGCTTTTTGGTACTTCAAGATTGAATTGTGGCACTGTCTTTACATCACTACACCTTAAAACTACTGTGAGACCAAAGCTAGTGCTGAATACAGAATTTCACTCACAGAACAGGGCATCTCACAGGGAGCATATGACACCTGCTCTGTATTTTCAACTAGCTGTCCACTGGTTTCCAAGTGCAGCCTTAGGTCTTACAGGTTACCCATAAGGCCCTAAGTGATTTGGGAGTGACTAAAGGGAACTGACTCACCAACTTCATGAGTTCCTATGCTCAGTTCAGCGCTGCTGAAGTTTAATTTTACTTACTATATAATAAATTATGATAGGCACAAAAATAATTATGGCATAACGTAATTTTGATAAGTATTTTTCTACCATTTTACATGTAAAACACTTTTTTTTTCTTATCACAAAGGTTAAGGTGCATTATTTTAAAATTTAGCTACCAATTTGAAGCATTCGGCTGGAACCTTCTTAACCAGGACTGATTTTCAGGAAAGTCTAGCCATGGTGGGGCCACAGATACATTGAGTATGACAGACTTGAAGGTGCTCTGTGACACCTCTCAGAGGTGCCCTAAAGGGAAGCTGAAAATGGAGATTCAGCATTAGCATAGCAACTAGCCCTGCCTATGGTCACAACTGGCCTGGGGAGCACTACACATCTTATTCCATAAGCTTTCTGAGGCCTTTGTAATCTGTGGCAACCTGTGAACAAGTGGCCCTAAGTGACTTGTTCAGAATCAAAGGATGAGTCCTTTGGTGTCTTTTAATACTTTCAGAAGGAGAACAAGAACTGGTTATGCTAAGCTACTTGTGATGTAAACACATGTTGACTAAGAACTGGACTGCTACCATCAAATTCATTTCACAGAAGCCAAATTGCTAGCAAGAAATCATCTTTGGTGAAACAATCTTGGTTAAGTTTGAACAGGTGATCTACTTGTGTGATGGCTATCTTGGCCAACACAGTAGAGACTGAACTGGGGAATCCCAAGGCTGACAGTCTCTACATTTTAGCAGCTGATTACCAGGTTTACTAGCTGGGTACTGTAAAAAAAAAAGGTTAAACTTGGTTCATCAGACAAAGAGGACAATTCATAACACACACTTTCCTATGCATTACACTTTCTTAAAATATTTTAACCAGATGTTCAGTGAAATTAAGATAAAAAGTGGAGTTGGTTGGTTTTAAGCAATTTCTTCCTTTAGGATAGCTATCTTAATCAGGAACTGAAAAACTGCAGAGTAGAACTTGCAGGCAACAAATTAATTAAACGCTACTGAAAGTTCAGGATGTGTCAGATTCCTCAGCCTACAAGGACATGAACTCAGTGCCAAGGCTCCCTGGGGTGTTGTGCTGTGTGGGTGTTATATTCAGTAGAGGATTGGAAAACCAATCAGAGAGTAATTATGATTGATTTGAATATTAATATGAACACAGTGAATACCAGAATAGTTAATTCAAGGAAATCCTCTAGTTGTTGAAATGTTTCCTCTATAGATCATAGAGCCATGGAGAAAACTGGAAGTTCATAGGTCAGGTGATGTAACCTAGCTAACATAGAGTATGTCTACTCAGCCCTAGATAATGCTATGCAAAAGTACCTGAACTAGCTGTGAACACACAATATTGTGTGCTGGAGTTGGCATAGCACAAAGCAGCACCTCAGAGATACCCAGTGCTTGTTCTGCACACAAAAGCTCTGGAAAGGGAAGCAAGTTTGCTATGTTAGTGCAGATCTGCATCCAGGCTAATAAACTCTGCTTTGCAGCAGAGTGAATGAGCCTGAAAACAGCATGGTGTTAATGCATGTATACCCCTTCCCATTCAAGAGCAAGCATATGTAGAGTTAGTGAGCTGTCTCAAGCATGGCATCATGTAGGTATTGCCTTTGAGATTGGATACTGACAACATGGCATCTCTTCCTCACTAATGAGAGGGGCAAAGGGTTCAAGCCCCTTCATTTAGTACTAGCTGATGACTTGTGGTACATGGTTGAAGAGCACTTCCCTAAATGCCCCATTAATAGGTCGTGCCTAGCGTTTCTCAGCAGATTATCACAAAGTACTTTACAAGGGATGTAAGTATCATTATCCTCCCTTTAGAGGTAAAACAGAGATGCACAGTGGCAAAGTGCCATACCTAAAGTCACCCAGCAAGCTAGTGACAGAGTCTAATGGCAGTGAAGTATTAGATGAGCCTTTTCCATAACTAACATGGTACATTAGTAGCTCAGGAAAGCTTATACAAAAGGTTGGCAGAGTTCAGAGGAAGAGCTTGGTAGGGCCAATTTCTGCAGTGGGAGCTAATTTCCACTGTACTGGTAGAGTCAAATGCTATAATATTAACATTTAGGAATAAATTATAATGAATTATATTTGATTTAATAATAAATAAAAAGCATGGATGGAAGTTTAGATTCCTTTCACAGATAAATGCAGATGTGTTTTCCGGTTTCTGTTGTCTGCTTCTCTGGGGTCAGCAAGGCAGCCTGTGTTTAGTAAAGAGAATAACACAGCATGGTCTGGACTGAGATTTTGTTCCTCTAAATCATAACCAAACAAATGTAACCTTGTTACTGAGGTTAGCATCACATTTTTCTGTGCACCTTGTGTCTTGTCAGAATTTCACCTCCCCAAAGCCTACTGTCATGAAGCAAGACTCACTCTAACACAAAAAAGGTAGGGAGGGTGAAGGCAATCAGGAAAGAAAAAGTTGGCTAAAGCTGCTATTAAGACTTCATTCCCTCTGGATCTTCACACTCTGTGAAAGGGGCGTGCTGCTGCACCTTCCTCCTATGGGTGCTGCTACTATTGGCACCTCCACAGCTGTTGCTGTCAGTAAAATAACACCTTCTGAAAACTGGCACGGTATTATTTCTGGTTGCCAAAGCTAGTAATCATCTTGTGATGAACTCCTCTGAGCTCAACTCCTGTTACATCTGTTTCCTTGGATTCCACTTAATGGAGGTAAACTATTGGTTTTCAAGTAAAATTAATATAATGTATTTTGTTTTTAAGACACAGATGAGTCTCCATAGATGTGTGTCACTTTCCAAGAGGAAAGCTAGGGATGTGAGTAATTCATATTTTTGGATTCATCAGGTACGAAGCAATGTGGATAAGTATTCAATGGATGCTGAATATGAATCCTGTTTACCAGGAGGCCTGGAGAATAGCCATAGCCTAACGAACTGAGGCTAAATGATGGTTCAGCTGTGTTGGCACTGATCGATTCTATTTGAAATCTTTCCAGAGTGTACAGCTTCATAATAATGTTATAAACTTTTATGGCACATTCCATCTGAGGCCCCAAAAGCTCTGCACAAACATTAGTGAATTTTGTCTCAAAAATCCCTGCGAGAGAAGCAAATGTTGGTGTTCCTATTTTATAGACAGGAAAACTGAGGAACCTAATGGCTGCAATCAATGTTTTGAAAATGTTTGGGACATTTATGTTTTTTAGGCATTGAACATGAAATACCAAATAGCACCCTAAGTTTCAAAAGTGCTAAAAGGGCCCCAGGGTTCTTGCACACATGTGTGGCATTCTGGAGAAAGCTGTTGTGAGCGTGGGCTGCTTGTGTGTGTGTGTGTGTGTGTGATGTCCTGGCGGGGGGGGGACAGCTTGGAGCCCGGCCCTGAGGGGAATGGGGTT